AGCAATGCGCATTCACGACCTCGTATGCGGGACTCGAACTTAAGACCTTTGGTTTCGCATATGAATGCTTAACCTCTAGACTATTGATCTGGTATCTAATAGTGTTATTGTTTAACTTTAACCAATCTAAGATATTGCACGACCGTCCTTCATTGTCTTAAGTGAGTAATTGCCTCACAATTAGTTTTTTATTTGGGCTCTACACTAAAACATAGGTTTTACAAATCAGTAGGAAGTTGAAAACATTTAGATGATGATAAGTCAATATAACAATGTGATAATGAGTAAGTAACAACAGAGATGTATGATGACTAGCAATGGAATTCAAGACATGCGTTTCATCCCTTTTAAAATGGAACAACAAAAGTTTGACACTACCTCATATGTAAACGCTTTATTGATGAGAACTGACGAATCAATAAGACCGACTACATAAAGCCTATATACACATTTTTCTAGCTTTGTTTCATTACAGTATAAGCGAAACTTCCTCACATGTTTGGCCACAATGTCAAAATTATTAGTTCTGATATCGGTTTTAAAGGGTAACTAAAACTTATTCATAATTTACTGCATAAACACGGATGGCTATCATAGTTTCTAACGAAACATATGTCTGAAACTATACCGAAAGTAAAATTATCCACAGTACCAAAACAGTCAATGTTCTTGAATTTACATTTCGAAGGTGATATAGTCAGCGAAATAGTAGCTGAGCGTATACAAAAGGCATTAGAACGTACATACCATAAGGTAACATTATGTCCTGTTTTCTTCAGACATTCAATAGTGAATTCACGAAATTATGATAATTTGTCTAGTTCCTCTGGTTGCATGAGTATTAACTATTTCTACTGCTCTCATAGAGCTAAGGAATTAACAAAGAGAATAACACTGGTCAAACAATAGATCAAGCAAATTACTCTGGTTGCAACTTAATAGAGAGTATAGTGAAAGACACTTACATTATGGGCTACTAGAATTTTGACTTATTCTACATTTTTCATTCATTCATTACCTGCTATTCTTCCCTATGTTTCAAGCTAGAAAAATGAAGCAGGTCATTCTATCTAATTTTTCGGCGTGCTGTACAAGGAAGAGTGATGGATCCTTAAAGAGGTCTATTTATAGAAAACAAACATGTGACGACTGATTAACCAAATTCTATAGCTGGAATCTTATGCACTTTGTGCATTACCATCTATTTGGGATTTGTAGTAAAGAATGTTTTGAGGAAAAACTTCGTTTCCTCAATGAAATATTAACTAAAAACGGTTATCCCAGTCTCTTTGTAGAAAAGAATTCGAGGGAGAGTCAGGACAAAAATCCAAATATTCCGTCTCAAAGAGGTGAGCAAACTTCTAATGTACTGATGAACACTTTGTTCACAGAAATTAAACAAAGCATTCTATAAAAAATGGTTACGACTAGCAATCACTAGCAGAAATTTGATTTTTCGTATGCGTAAAGGATAAGCTTCGTCATCTGCACTCCTCTATGGAGATTTAAGGATTTACCTGCTCATATGGAGCAAGGTACATAGTCTGTAGCCAGAAATTGTTTCCAACTTGAGTTCAAGAACATATCCCAGTGTAGTTCTACAAAGATGAGAGGATGGCAGTTAGGAGTTCTATTCTTCAATATTTAATCGATACTGATCACTGCAATGATCGACGGGTTGATATTAACGTTGTCCGTAGAATCCGTCCAACTCTATCAATATTTCATTTTATTCAGCTTCTTAAAACAGAAGAAGCTCTTGACTTCCATGGAATTAAGCTAAATTCACTTGATGTTGTTTGGTTGTATCTTCCTATTAATGTTTATGACTGCAACTGATCAGTCTCTTATAGGCATATGTGCATCTTGTGCGGATTGCCTTTATATTGGCCAAAGTCACAAGTTTTATAAGCAAAGATGGGTAGTGGCTAGTAGTAGGATTCAGGACACGCGTTTCGTCCTATTTGATACTCGTCGGCCGAATGTACCTGCACCACACAGTTGATGTTCACTTTGGGACTCGAACCCAGTATCATTCGCTTTATTCACTTGGATCCTCTCTCTAATTATTTCTCATATCCCTTTGATTTTGATTTATTATTTTCTCTGAGAATATATGAACAGTGAATAAACATATATAACTTGAAAATAAGTTCTTTAAATAGAGGGACCCTAGCTGAACTTCATCTTTAATATTTAGACGATAATTATGTCTAATTAATGTTTTCTCCACTAAGTATTTTTAGACCATACATGTCTACTGGAAGCACATGTTATAAGTCGGTCATTGCTTGATATGTAGTAACTTCTTTCATATGAAGTAATTCTGCTTTGTAATCCTCTACTTTTCTTGATTGAGATCATGAACCGATTGATGTTAGATCCCCATTGAAAACCTGGAAGCACTGGACGGCCGTTTCAACCTATTGTGGGACTCCAGAGCACCACGCATTCACGAACCTGTTCTTGGGATTCGAATACAGAGCCATCAGTGTCGTGCGTAAATGTTTAACCTTTAGACCAATGAACCAGCCGGCATCCAACGGTATCAATTCCTAACGGAGCCAATACACAAAATCACGTGACCATCGTCCATTGTACTGGTAGATACCTATTTCTACCCGACACGGGTTAGCTTAAGATGTACTTAAAAGTTTTTAAGGTGATGATAATGATTTATTAAGAGTCCATGGTCTCATTTAGTTAGTTTTCAGTGAGATAGATTTCATTTGTAATTTGATTTATATTCTTCAAACAATTTATCATTAAACTTGAGATTAAAACGCTTTTGGATTGAATTGATCTCTATCAGCTTCCATCAACCAAAGGCTCTTTACTTACTTACTTACGCATGTTACCCCCTATGGAGCATAAGCCGCTAACCAGCATTCTCCAACCCAGTCTGTCCTTGGCCTTCCTTTCTATTTCCATCCAATTCTTGTTCATTTTTCTCATTTCTGTCTCCAATTCTCTACATAATGTGTTCTTTAGTCTTCCTCTTTTCCTTTGGCCTTTAGGATCACAAGTGAGGGTTTGTCTTGTGACGCAGTTCGACGCTTTCTTCAATGTGTGTCCTATCCGCTTTCAGCGCTTCCTTCTGATTTATTCTTCCGCTGGTACCTGGTTTTTTCTCCCTCACAGTTGGTTGCTGCCGATAGTTTCTGACCAACGGAACCGAAGTATTTTGCGTAGGCAACTGTTAATAAACACCTCTATCTTCTGGATGATCGTTTTCGTAAATCTCCGAGTTTCCACCCTATACAGCAGAACTGTTTTGACATTTGTATTGAAAGTTCTAACTTAAGTGTTAGTTGGAAGTTGCTTTGATTTGCAGATGTTCTTCAATTGTAGATATGCTGCTCTTGCTTTGTCGATCCGCGCCTTCACATCTGAAACTGATCCACTGTGTTCATCAATGATACTGCCCAGATATGTAAAGGTTTTTACGTCCTCAAAAACTTCTCCGTCAAGTGTGATTTGATTGATTTATGTTGTGATATATCGGAGAATATTGCTTTTCCCTTTGAGAATGTTGAGACTTACTTCTGCCAAAGCTGCTGCTACACTGTACGTCTTCTCCTGCATTTGTTGTTGCGTGTGCGATAGGAGAATTGCTCTTTAGTTTCTTAATAACATGTCTAATAATTCAGACATATGTATATCATGAATAAATATCATTTCTTTTAACGTTGGTTTTATTTATATTGCAAGCAAATTAAAACATGACATATACGTTTATGGTTATCATTCCATTAATTCATTCTGAATAAATCATAATAACTTAATATCATGTTTTAGTGTCCAAATGTGTATGTTTATGATTGAGATCATGAATCGACTGACCACCGTTGGAAACCTGGAAACACTGGACGACCGTTCCGTCCTAGTATGGGACTCCTCAGCGGTGCGCGTCCACGATCCCGCTCGCGGGATTCGAACTCAGGGCCTTCAGTCTCGCGCGCGGACGCTTAACCTACTGGACCACTGAGCCAGCATCCAATGGTGTTAGTGTCTAACATCAACTAATCCACGAAATTGCGCGACAATCTTCCATTCTACTGAGGTAGATACCTGTCTCTACACGACACGGATTAGCTCCACTGATCACGGCTTCTCACTAGAACATCAGTCGATTCATGATCTCAATCAAAAACTTAGTAATCTCCACAACTCCAATAATGTGTATGTTTACTTGAACACTGTTTTTCATATATGTATATATATTCAGGATGATTAAAGGTAGTCAATTAATTTTCAAGGATTTCATCTTGAAATTTTCACCGAGGATTTGAAGATAAACATGTTATCAAGATAGTTTTCAGTAGAATATGATGCCTTAAACTGCTTGAATGATATGCTCATTCTGAATACCTTTACCATACCAAACCTTTCTATTTGTTGAAAATAATTATTATCAGAAGGGATTTTGTGGAGATTTCAGTAAGTTCAATCGTTAAAATCATGAATCAATTGAAGCTAGACCACTATGGAAAACCTGAAAGCATTGGACGGCCGTTTCGTCCGAGTATGGGACTTCTTAGCAGTGCACATTCAAGATCCCTCCCTCCCCGCGAGATTCGAACCCATGACTTATCAGTCTCGCACGCGAGCGCTTAACCACTAAGCCACCGAGACGGTATCAAACTGCGTTAATATCTAACTTCAACCAATCCACGAAATTGCGCCACCGTCACTATTGTCTTCAGTGAACTGATATCTCACAACAGACTTGGTTGAACTCCACTGGTCAAGGCTTCCCACTAGAACTTCAGAAATGTCTCTTGAAGTTAGTCACTAGTGAGCAGATGATTATTATTAGAAGGGTTGGCTCATTTTTGTGAATTGGTTGAAGTTAGACATTAGCACCGTTCGATACTGGCTCAATAGTTTAATGGTTAAGAGCTCGCGTGCGAGACTGATACACCCTTGGGCGGGATCGTAGATTCATGTAACCAACTAGAGTGAAACTGTTTCACAATAAGATACATTCATAGTGACTATCATTCATTCATTCATTCATTCATTCAGTATTACTGATTGTTCATATTAGTCTGATTGGAAAACTGAATCTTGATCAAAATAAAAAAAAATAAAACAGTAGTAGTTTGTTGGTTCTAATTGAACTATGAATGCTTAGAATGTTTGTTTTTCTTTCTTTCTTTCTTTGAACTTAAATTATAAATGTAAATTTCATGAATTCATTGTTTACATAGGTCAACAAACATACTACTTATAATGAGTTTCCTAAAAGAAGTATCATTATTTTAAAAGTACCAATGCTATATCATAATTTCAATAAAGGACATATTAAAAGGTTTTTATTTATTCATATAGAATAATTTGAAACTGATATTGTGGTTTAATCAATGGATTCACATTGATTAATGAACATTTCATTTTAGTATATAAACAAGATAATGAATTTAATGAAATACATAACATCATCCAGTAGTAGTACTTCATCAAGATTATCAAAGTGTTCAATGGCAGTGATATATTCTTTAAGATATATCTTATTATTATTATTATTATTATGTTTGAATTGTTTATTGACATTTGTTAAAAATGAATATACTTGTCAACTTATGCCAAATATCACTATGGTAAGTATAATGATATTGAAGTGAATTTCTTTATAGAATTTTGGTGTCTTAGGTGAACCGATTGATAAACGTCAATATGGGGGTAATCGATTGAAGTTTATAACGATATACAGTTCAAGTATAGAAAGACATCCATTATTTCATCGGTTCAAGGTAAGAATGTTTACTTCTTCTTTCATTGATCAATTGAATTAAGTAAATCACTTTCTGTATCATCATAGTGGTGATATGTTGTTTAATGCATCAAATATAATGACGATCCATCTCTTAGTTTAAACATATAAATTCTTACTAGTAGTATTCTTAATATTGAATTTGAATCAAGGATGAATAACATGGATTGTGTTTGAAATCCACATTCAATGTAGACTTATCAGGATATCTTAGTTTCAACATTAATGTTAAGATACTTGGAGAAATGTCTGAAAACAGTTAGATGTATATCATAATTAGCAACAAAATAGTAATTGTTGGGGGTATTCAAAAAATACCCCAGAAATTATCTAGTGCTATTCCTGAATGAGAAATAGTGTCATTGCCCTATTGATCAACATTCTTCCAACGTGTCATTTCCCTATTGGTCAATATTTATTTGTGTCATTTCCTGAAGGTTAAATCTTGTACTAATGTTATTTTCTATTTTATGGTACGTTGTGGTCTGTTTGATTGCTATATAAACAGAGACTTGTGTTCTGGACTCAATTGGCTGGGCTAAACAGGAAAGCAGGGCCAATCAGTACTCTAGACTGCTTGCCCGTATTTTATACGTCAGTGTTTCGATCGATAATACGCTGCTCTCCAATAGGCGGATTACACGTTATAACAATTGGCGACGGGGATGGGATTCGAACCCGCGCGGGGAAACCCCAATGGAATTTTAAGAAAGTTTCCATAGTTGTTTCTAAATTGATTATGTTGACTGTGTATTTTAGGTGTATCATCATATTGATGTTATATTATGTTTCATAACATTACTGGTAACTTGGTTGTTTATTTTACCAATAGCACAACGACGTGTACGCATATCAGTTCTACAATAATTTATCAATTATATTTGAGTACTCATTTGAATTTTATCTAATTTTTCTAGAAAGATTCATCGACTTCGTAAGTATTAACACATATGATTTCACTATTAACATCTATCTAATCAAGTGAATAATTTGAGTGGTAATAGATATTTCTTCAGAGTATCCGTCTATTAATAAACGGACGAGTATACTGCGCGGCAGTTCGTTCCGTTCTACTATACGGCTGCGAAACATGGCCATTAAGAGTTGAAGATACTCGTAATGGACCATAGATACCTTAAAAATGTTGTTCGCATCTTCTGGGATCACCAGGTAAGTAATAGTGAGGTTAGACACAGGGTATTAGGGAATGATGGTAAATCAGTTGATGAGGTTATGAATCTTCATCGACTGAGATGGTTGGGTCACGTGTTGTGTATATCTGAACACCGATTACCAAGACGCGCAATGCTAACCGGTGTTGGGGATAATTGGAAGAAAGTTAGGAGCGGCCAAACCAAAACGTAGCATCAGTGCTTGAAGTCACTAACTTATGGTCTGAGCCATGTTGGTAGATGCAGACTACCTGGTTGGGGTCCGCATGACTATCGTAACCAATGGTTGGAGACTCTTGGTGACATGGCTCAGAATCGATCACAATGGCGTAGGTGTATACACTCTCTGTCTTCCCTTAAACCATGAGATTAGAATTGCTTTATATTTTTCTTTCTACGAACTAATTCTTTCTTCCTGTACTATCTCCTTATACACACTCTTTCTTCTATATATTACCACCACTGAATTAACTACTTCTATGAATCCTGTGTTCATCTTATTGTGCTAATGTGGTATGGCAACTTGGACCGATGCATATATGTGCTTGGTACTACGTTGTAGCTGATAGAACGACTGATTTCTTCAGAGCTAACTTAAATGTATGTATTCCTGGAAATCGTCGACTATTGTCGATGACCAACTATATTGTGAAAGGACAAAACTGTTATTATTTATTCTGTTTACACCACGTGATGATGAGTACGGATATCTTTGAATTGTTCAATTTTATATTAAATTGATTTTACTTACTTCAACCATTCAAAGTATTATAATTTATTTTGATTATTTATATTAGAGGGAAGTAGTAGAAGTAGCTCTTGAATTCTGGCAAAGAGCATTGAGTGTAAGAAAACCACCAAACAGAAAGCTACTTGCAGAAAGGTTAGTATATAATTATTAGTACAATTCTAGCTGTTTAAGGATAAATTTTGTAATTTTAATCGTTAAAATCATAAATCATTTGAAGATAGATCACCATAGAAAACCTAGAAGCACTGGAAAGTCTTGGGTTCAAATCTTTCGAGGTGGGATCATGGATAGACACTGATGAAGAATCCCACAATAGAACGAAACGGTCGTCCACAACAAACTCCCTTCTGATACTAACTTTGTCATCGACATCTTGAAGAATTTTACAATATTTTTTTTATTTCAAATGATCTCATTACTATGAAATAGTGATTTAATGATGTTCAAAAGATTACTGTTTACTCTTCAATTACTTCTGATATTACTATAAATCATTTCAGTATGTTGATTGATTTTTCACTATTGTATATTTGATGTTACTCTTGTAGAGGATGTGTTGAACCATCATACTTTAGAGATGGAAATACGGGTAAATTATTTTGTAAATCCCGTTGCAGACCAAAAGCTCTGTGCTATGACCATCCAATTCCAGATGAATATGCTACCGTAAGTTTTAATCAAAAATATTTTAATTAGTAAACATTACAATGAGATTTCATTCATATTTGTAATAATCAGTCATTATTATGTAACCTAAATTAGATAATAAATTTCATGTCATGACAATGATGTGTTTGCAATCGAGATGTAAATACCTAATGTAGCCCCCAAATGCTCTGGTACAGCCGAGAGTGTGGAGAGTCAGCTCTCACTCTCTTTCGAAATGCTATCACATGGCCACGTGTATACAGCCACTGACAGGGAAGTACTATTCACTGCCCTCTCACGGTGTGGGTGTTGTTTACGAAATTGAGAGGACGGAAAGCGAATACCCGGTGCATTAACCGAGTTGGTGGATATAGAGGATCCACCTAGGAGAGTTGGAAAACTCTGATTCCAAACCAATAGTGCATATGTACTCCAGGATCCTGAAAGAACGAATGGTGTATGAACAATTAGTTGATCACTGATTACCAAGAGACAGCATCTCCTGACGTTGCTCCGCTGCCTTGTGGATCAGAGATTTAGATCAAAGGCTCCGTGCGTGGCCCCCTAAGCAAACCACCTGCTCCAGTTTGGGCACTCGGGTAGTATCCCAGTTCTCACACAAATGGAACGATTTATGTGGCGGATATCTATCTGGTGCCCCTTTGTATCAATATTTATGTGTTCAAATAAATAAATGACTGATGAACACGTATAAGGCACCATGTTTTACAATTTTAACATAAGACTATTGAAGCTTTATCTATAGATTGTTTAGAATTAAATACTCGAATAAATTATGCACTATCTTGTAACCTCTTTGTCATATAAACTAAACTGATGGTAAGATAAGCTAGAATAATAGTGAAGAAAATATTAAACTTTTGTGGAATGCCCAATATTACTAGTTTTATTTAGTTTAATTTACTATCAAGCAGATGGCTATCAGGGCGCAGTAGCTAACTGGATAACGCGATGGTGTTTGAAGTGGATGGCACTGGGTTCGAATCCCACAGTGAAAATAAACTCTGGGATGCAGGTGCATCCAGCTGACGAGTCCCATGTAGGACGAAACGCGGGTCCTGAATTTCACTGCTACCTATTATTCATCTTTGCTTATAAAGCTCGTGACAATTTTCATAGAATGTACATATGTCAACAAGAGACTGATCAATTATAGTTCTAACTATTAATGGGAAGATACAAACAAACAACATCAAGTGAATTTCACTATATTTAAGATAATCAAATAAACACACTACTGACTTTATTGTCATTCTTTTATATCGTTGAGATATACGAGTGTATATAATTACGATAATTAGAATTGTATTATCCATTCAGAATATCAGACAGTTTTAAAGTTAACATTCATTAGAGGTAGTTTAATACGTAATTCATTGTTCGCTTGAACTTAAGTATTTCGATTGAAATTGATGTATAAAGAAGACTGATAAACCTACCGAACGAAGAAATAACAACGATACTGAACAATTATAAATATCGTCTGTACTTTTGATTCGGACAGTAGCTTATCATACAAATGTTGAATTATCACCTTACATGAATCAGTGACCGGTTATTTTGACATTAATTAAATCGGATGATGTTGTTGAGGGGCTAACCATTTTAGTGACTCTGAATCTGACACTAATTAGATAGTTAAAATCATGAGTCAACTGAATCCAGACCACCATGAAAAACCTGGAAGCACTGGACGGCCGTTTCGTCCTAGTATGGGACTATTCGGTAGTGCGCATCCATGATCCCGCCCCCGCAAGATTCAAATCCAGGACCTATCAGTCTCGCACCAGGCGCTTAACCAACAAGATTACTGAGCTGGCATCTAACTGTGTTAATGTCTAACTTCAAACAATCCACGAAGTTGTGCCACCGTCACTGTTGTCTTCAGTGAGCTGATATCTCACAACAGACCTGGTTGAATTCCACTGGTCACTGTTTCTTACTAGAACTCCATCTAGTGCTTTCAGGTTTTTCATGGTGGTCTAGCTTCAATTGACTCACGATTTCAACTATTGAAATTACTCATTCTCCACAAAAACCCCTTCTGATACTAATTAGATAGTATAAATGATTATTATTGAATGACTGCTGTTGAAATATACACATGTCGGCTATCCTCGTGTGTATGTATCGACTTAATCCGCGTTAGTGAATAACAAAGTTAAATAAGTCAAATAAGAGAATTGATTTGGAATATACATATTTTATGCATTCATTGGTTTGAACAGGCAATCAGGCAGACGAAACAAAGAGGGAAGAGCGAAACAGATTGGAGAAAGTAAGTGAGCCAACTCAATTTAGCAAAGCGTAGATCAATATTTATAGTTGAACAAAAATAAGCTACAGACATATGATGAGTAAGATAGGTAATGCACACAACTACGTTTACATAAAATCAATCAAGGTTGATAAGCGAATAATTAACAAAGTTAAAATGTGACTGAAGAAGGATGAATAAGTTGGTTTATCCGAAAGTCAGATTAAGCTATGTGGACTTTGCTTAGCAACTAACACTTTAGTTCCATCCACCAAGCTAATCATTATGAGAACTGTAGTTACCTTGAATTATAATGACAAGATGTATTCCTAGATGTAAGTGATTTTTCCAGGTTATCGCTCAGTGACTTTATGTGGTTAGTAATATTTAATTAAGTTGTTATCTTTTAACATTGATCATCAACTATCAATTCGTAAGCTCTTTCATCAACTACAATGTAATACAGTGATTTTGAATGGTGTAACTATCTGGCATTTCACCTGATATTTGTTTGTTGTCATTATGGAATCGTCAAAACTGTGAAGATGTTAGCTAATTACGTCTAAATTGAAACTAGAAGTTGAATCAATATGAATATGAGAAAAATTAATATTGAAACTAAAGATATCCTCATATTTGAACTGTAAGTATTAAAAAGAACTACCTGAAGTAGTGGTACTATTATATTTAACTGAGTGAAGCATTAGAAAGTAGTGCAGAAAACAGTGTACTTATATTTATATCGTTTTTAATAGCCAGTATTTTTTTTTCCTCAATTTTCATCAATAGGGATGCTCTGAAGGACCTAGTGCTGGATCTCTTAGAGATGTTTATCGTGATGGTTCAGGATTTGCACCAAATGAATATGTTGTTTTTGTTGGAAGTGAAAATAAACATGGATGCTTATCAGGTGCAACATTAGCTTATGCTGGTCCATGTGAAATGCATCCTACAACTGATAGGTTAGTAATTATACATTTGATTAGATCATAAAATTAGAAAATAATTCATTCGTTGAAACATTGATAAGAATAATGTACATATCACTATTACATAAGCAACACGTTATGGTAACATATTGTATTTATGTGCTATTTGTATTTTCATTTCAGACCAATTATGGGAGCGATTAACTTTTGTCCACAAAAGATTCAAATAGAAGAACCAGGTAAAACTATGTTGATTGGTACAGCTATTCATGAAATGGCTCATGCTATGGTGAGTGTTTATATTTAAATGAAATCTGCTTTATTAAACTTATATTCTATTCGAAATAGGTTAATATTAAATTTCATATTGAAAATGTTAGAACTTTTCTAGCTGATAGCCCTCAAATGCTTTGGTACAACCGAGAGTGTGGAGAGTCAGCTCTCACTCTCTTTCGAAATGCTATCTTATGGCTACGTGTATACAACCACTGACAGGGAAGTACTATTCACTGCCCTCTCATGGTGCGGATGTTGTTTACGAAATTGAGAGGACGGAAGGCGAATACCCGGTGCATTAACCGGGTTGGTGGATATGGAGGATCCACCTAGGAGAGTTGGAAAACCCTGATTCCAAAGCAATAGTGCATATGTACTCCAGGATCCTGAAAGAACGAATGGCGTATGAACCAATCGTTAATCACCCACTACCAAGGGTTCGCATCTCCTGACTCTGCTTCACTGCCTTATGGATTCGACCTTTAGGTCGAAGGCTTCGTGTGTGATCCCTTAAAAAAACCACCTACTTTGGTCTGAAAACCCGGTTAGTATCACAGTCTTCACACAAATCGAATGATTTAGGTGGCGCATATCTATTCGGTGCCTCCGTACTCCATTGTTCATGTACCCTGTGCAATCTCTTAATACAATTTTGATTGTATCGTTCACTAGCCTATGATCTCAATACTAATTATCATTTTTCTTATAAATCGCACATTTGTTTTAATGAGTATCATGAGGCTCTTCGAACTAAGTGAATCAAAATAATCAATACTGCGATGTAACATAAATGCTAGAATTTGTAACCTTCTGTTGTCCGGAAAAATTTCACCGATTCGTTAATGTTATGTTTCTTTACATATTTATACAAAAATTCATCGTATATTAACTTGTAATATAGAACTTATAAAATCTTACTTACTTACGCCTGTTACTCCCAATGGAGCATAGGCCGCCGACCACCATTCTCCAACTCACTCTGTACTTGACCTTCCTTTCTACTTCTATCCAATTCTTGTTCATTCTTCTCATATCTGTCTCCATTTCTCGGTATAATTTGGTCTATGGTCGTCCCCTCTTCATTTGGCCTTGAGGATTCCATGTGAGGACTTGTCTTGTGACACATTTGGGTGCCTTTCTTAATGTATGTCCTATCCACTTCCACGGATTCTTCCTGATTTCTTCCTCCACTGGGATTTGATTTATTCTCTCCCACAGTAGGTTATTGCTGATAGTGTCTGGCCAACGGATCTGAAATATTTTGCGTAGGCAACTGTTAATAAACACCTCTATTTTCTCGATGATGGCTTTCGTGGTTTTCCAGATTTCTACTCCATAAATTAGAACCGTTTTGACATTTGTATTGAAAATTCTTACTTTAGTGTTGATTGACAGACAGTTGTTTTGAGTTTCAAATGTTCTTCAGTTGTAAATATGCTACTTTTGCTTTTCCGATTTCCACCTTCACATCTACATCAAGTTAAAAGATCACCATGTTTATTTATATTATACGAATAGTTTTTTTTTTTTTTTTTGAAATAAAAATATTGAACATTTTAGGGATTCTCTAAGTCGAATTTCGCTTTGATGCGTGATCGAGACGGTAAACCATTGACACCAAGAGATCCTAGAACAGGCAAACCAAGAATGAATCCTCAGAGGCAGTATGATGCAAGGTGATTAATTTTTTTTTTTGTGATTCTAGTTTTATCTTAACTCATTTCAAAGTTCTTTATCAGTTTTTAATGTATCCTATTATGTAATTTATAATAATTAAGTGGACCAAACTTTGCTTCACTCAACTATTTATTAGATGATATCTTCTTTTAAATGATAAGTATAGTCCATAAATCAATTAAATCTACAAATGATCCTTGATTTGAAAAATTCATTAGTTAAATCACGAAGATCTGTTCTAAGTAAGTTAATCAATTGGCTACAATGTAGGACAAGGCACATGTATACATCGATCCAAGTTTCTATCGCCACATTAGCACAACAACATGAGTAAGGATCCTGTAGAGATTCAGTCAGTCATTTAGTCAGTAACAACGTGGAACTTCGTACGTTCGTACGTACATCAGTTCGAGTTGCCATACCACATTACCACAGAGATTCAGTTATCCATTTAAATCCCGTAGTGGTAGAGATAGTGATAGGGAACATTAAGGTTTGATGATGTTATTTAAGGAGTATAGTCCAGTGGAATAGATTTGGAAAGAAAATAAAAGACAGGAAGAATTCAGAAGATTAGAGTTTGGGAGAACACAAAGAGTGGATGCACCTACGCCATTGCAAACGATTTTGAGCAATGTCATTCAAGGTCTCTAACCATCGGTTGCCATCATCTCGCGGTCCCCAACCGAGTAGTCTACACTTACCAACATGACTCAGTCCACTTGTCAGTGACTTCATGGATTTGTGCCATGTTTTGGTCTGGCCGCCCCTAGCTTTCTTCCAACCTACTCCTACACCATAAAACATCGCGCGTCGGGGCAGTCGGTGGTCGGGCATGCGCAGCACATGTCCCAGCCATCTCAACTGATTAAGTTTCACTACTTCATCAATTGATTTGCCATCTTTACCTAGTACCCGTTTCCTAACAACTGGATTACTTACTCGGTGGTTCCAGGATATACGAGCGATGTTTCGAAGACACCTATGGTCAAATACTAGTAACCTACGAATATGCTCTACTCTTACTGGCCATGTTTCACTGCCATGGAGTAGGACGGAACGAACTGCTGCACAGTAAACCCGTCCTTTGGTTGGTAGACGGATATCTCGCCTACGCCACAAATGACGCAAGTTGGCAAAAGCTAGTCAAGCCTTCTGTATCAGTGCTGAGATTTCGTCACACACCAAACCACGAGAGCTGATGAGACTTCCGAGATAAGTGAAGCGGTCAACACGCTCAACAACTTCACTCCCTATCACTAGTTCGGGTGTCGACGCAACCCAATCCTGAAGTAACATTTTGCATTTCGAGGGATAAAATCGCATGCCGAACATGCTTGAATTGTTGCTTAGAGTGGTCAGCAGAGTCTGCATTCTGTCAGCGTCTTCACTAAATAGAACTATGTCATCGGCATATTCTAAGTCAACAAGTGGATCTCCCGGTAGAAGTTCAACTCCTGGAAATTTAGATGAGGAAAGTGTCATCTCTAAAAGGACGTCAAGAACAAAGTTAAACAAGAATGGAGAGAGTGGACAGTCCTGACGAACACCACTTGAGATAATCTATTCTGATGACAGTTCACCATAAGCTCTCACTCGACCAGTTGTACTCGAGTTGAGAGCCTTTATAAGGTTAATGTACTTCTTTGGTACTCCTTTCAGTGACAAACACTTCCATAGAACCTCACGATCAACAGAGTCAAATGCCGCCTTAAAGTCGAGAAATACTACCATTGTGGGGCGTCTGAATATATGTCTATGTTCTAAGACCTGATGTAGTGTGAATATTTGATCTATACAACCACGTTCAGGTCGAAAACCTGTAGAGATTAATATGAATCAAAAAATTATGTTTTTACCATTACAGATTCATGTATTTTTGTCTACATAAGAAAGATGTTTTAATTTGAAGAGGTGAGTGAAATACGTTTAAAGTAATCAAACTCAGTTAAATAGAAGAATATTATAAGGAACTAAGTATTAATATCAAGTCTCTTCTCTATTTAAAGTTAGCTAGTGAATATACAATCGTTATGTTATTGTAAAGATGAGATATACATGTTGAAAGTAAAGAAGTTTGTATATATTAAGAGAAATGAAGTGATTGATAGAAATTCCTTAACAAACATATTGATTAAATGTGATCATTTTGATAATCAAAGTTTAACAGAAAGTAATGAGATAGTTATGATCTACATGTTGATCATTTTGAACTTATTATTGATTTTAATATCATTCGAAAGTTTATTCACTCATGGCTTTTACATAAAAAGGGTTTCTCAATAGAATACAACTAAACGATCAGCTGGTTAGCGTCTTTTTTGTTAGTGAGTTAGTTTTCTACGGAATGGGGTTGCTAACCCTACTCCTTTATCCGGACTTTGGACCTGGCAGTAGCGCAAGAGAGGCTACTGAAGGAGTAACAGGCGTAAGTAAGTAAGTAAGTAAGTAAACGATCTGTATATCAACCTTTAAGAAGTGATATGTCATGCGCCTTGTCTATTAAATTGTTTCTATGTAAATTACATTCAATCATATCTTCATATTACATTTTCTAAATTATAATTTTTGTGCTCCATTTCAGTGAAAATACTGTTAAACGTATTGTTCGTCCTTGGGTTACAGCGGCTGGATCTTTTATAAAACCTTTCTTATCATTTGTTACACCGATATTACTGGTAAGTTTTAGTGTCAAGTTAACACTCAATGTAATTTGAATGTGTATGCGTTACTCATAAACCAATTACTTACTTACTTACTTAGGCCGCTCACCAGTATTCTCCATCCAATCCTGTACTGGACAATTCTTTCCAATTGTTATTCGTCCTTAATTACTTACTTACGCCTGTTACTCCCAATGGAGCATAGGCCGCCGACCACTATTCTCCAACCCACTCTGTCCTGGGCCTTCCTTTCTATTTCCATCCAATTCTTGTTCATTTTTCTTATGTCTATCTCCATTTCCAAAGTAATGTGTTCCTTGGTCTTCCTCTTTACCTTTGGCCTTAAGGATTCCACTTGAGGGTTTGTCTTGTGACGCAGTTGTGTGATTTCCTCAATGTGTGTCCTATCCACTTCCAGCGCTTCTTCCTGATTTCTTCTTTCTCTGGAATGTGGTTTATTCTCTCCCATAGTAGGTTGTTGTTAATAGTGTCCGGCCAACGGACCCGAAGTATTTTGCGTAGACAGCTGTTAATAAACACTTGTATCTTTTGGATGATTGTTGCGGTAGTTCTCCAAGTTTCCGCCCTGTACAGTCGTTATGCTATTCCGAAATATTCCATTCGCCTATTAACATACACCCAGTCCTTTATGCTAATTCATATATATTCAACCCTATATACCTAACTAAGAATGTTTTTGAATAAATATCTTATTTCACGTAAGAAGTATTATTTGATTTGATAAGGAATTATTTTCAATTAAAAATTTATTTATTCTCATTTAGGCGGAAGGACGCAAACATTACAACTGCCCTACCTTGGATGGGATCGACATAGAGAATGAAGGTGGAGAAGGAACAGCTGGTTCACATTTTGAAAAGCGAACAGTTGGTGTAAGTAAAGCAAATATTCAGATGTAGCTAAAGATCACTTTATAATCGTCTCTTGGTCCTTCTGTTATAATGTTTCAGTATTACCACTCGTTTGATTTATTGAGAAGTAACTTTAATAATTGAAATCGTAATTCAATTGAAGCTAGACCACTATGGAAAACCTGAAAGCACTTGACGGCCAACTCGTTTTATTGTGACACTCCTCAGCAGTGTTTTTGATGGAGTTTTGTTCTCTGAGCTGGATGGTTTGGTTGTGGAGCTTTCATCGTTCTTCTGAACGACATCATCAGCACAAACTTCAGATAGAACAAAACTCCATCAAAATCATCCACCTGAGCTACAAATCTTCTCCACCATCTCCTCAGCAGTGTGCATCTATGATCTCACCTCGCGAGTTTCGAACCCAGTACCTATCAGTCTGTAACTTATATTGTACTGTTATTTTATTTAATGTATCACAATGAAAAGTCATAAGATGTGGTAAGATGAACAAAAAGACTCGATAAAAATCCAAGATTAATGTTTCCTGATAGTCAATACTTGTAAGATGAAATGACATACATAATTCTGATTAAAATGTTATCTTTGTGGGATCTGACCTGATGTTACACCTTGCTGGAAAATGTTAGTTAGCATGAAACTTAAGTCTAGATATTCTTGTTGAATGCTCACAATCGTCAATTATCAAAACATTAATTATGAAATGTCGGGTTATTTAGATTAAGGACTATATCGTGAACTAATTCATGGCATTCAATCTATACTAAAGATACTTTACTTAATAAGTAAACAACATGATATGTTGATTAAATTTGGATGTTTGACAGGAAGTCAGGTTCTTTGAATGAGTGTTTTAAATGTACAGGAACTTAAAAATAAGCATCATCTGATGTTGTAATTCAAATGATTAATTCTATTCACTTTATTTGTATTTATTACAGGATGAAACAATGGCTGGTGTGACAGGAGTGAAAACTGTACTTTCAAGATTAACATTAGCATTCTTCGAAGATTCTGGGTAAATTAATACAATTACGTGTATCGTAAATGTGTCAATCCAGGATCCTGAGTATATTTATTGTAGATTTTGAATCATCTTGTAGTCTTTTTTCCCTAGTAATATGACATTAAATGTATGAACTTGGTGAAACTATAATTTATGGACAACTTTTGAGCGATGCTAGACTAACCTTGAGAGGGTTCACCTAATATCAAGGACCGAATCAGGGTTATAAACCAATGTTACAGATTAGAATTATGATTTACGGTTGATGATTAAGTTTAGGAATTAGATTTAGGGTTTTCATCATGAACTGACATCAACTATAATGCCAAGACTTTATTTATCCAAATGGATGAGTGAATATCGCGCCAATACCCGAGATATATGATCTTATACGTGATTCGTTCGTCCATAAATTATAGTCTCGCTATCTATTTCATTGTATTTCATTTTATTATTACTATTATTATTTATTAAATATATTGTTCTGATTTAACTAAAGCTGGTGGGATGTCGATTATTCAGTAGCTGAAGAATGGTATTATGGAAAGAATTTAGGTTGTACCTTCGTCATGGGAAGCTGTTACGCATATATGACTCAAATGAAGCAAGCGTAAGATTTATTCAATTATTTCAATATATTACTAATGATTAAAATTTACCGCTAAGTTTTCTATTATTGTCATTAGTAGTGTGGTGTGTGCTACTTATGTAGACATAAGTAGTATATGACGTGAGTACTGAACAGAATGTCTGGCAGCAGAGAGACGAGAAGATCGAACAAAAAAGAATGAAGACAGAATGCAATTTGTATGAAAATGCAAGAACAAAGCGATGCTGAGTCATTTGAGACAATTGATGAACAATTTGCAAATTAACGATTTAATATATGGTTGTTGGATTTTAATAACTAGTTCTGTAATTTGATGACGATCACGCTCGGTTGTCCCCACTTGTGTACTGTTCACTACAGTAGTAGTATTGATGGTAATAGTGTTGATAATAATTTTTCCGGTTACAGTTTTCCTTTAGCGAATTGGTTTTCTACGGGGTGGGGTCGTTAACCCCATGCCCAGCCCCCCTTCTTTATCCGGGCTTTGGACAAGCAGTAGCCACAGAGGGACTCCAGGTGGAGTTATTTATAATAATAATATTCTTGTTACCATTAATCTCAGCCTATATAGAATAAATAAGTTTTGAGTGGTAACAATCTCCATTTCATTTCAGAGGGAAAGGCATAGAACCTTACTGTGATGAAATGAGTTCTTTGATGTGCTATCATCAGAAAGCTTTTGGAGTTTGTGCTATGGGACAATTCATGGGTTATTTACCACCACAAGAACAATATTTCAGAAATTCTCCTGATGTTGGAGGTACCGGTGCATTGATAGATAAATGTCCTATCATTCAGGTTAGTATTTTTCTTTACTGTTTAGTTCTAATCTAATATACTTTACTTATTTGTTCAAAAATCATGTCCTATCTAAGTTGAGTGTAAATATCTATCCATCTTCGTTTTATTTATTACTTTAAATAGCAAGATAAACTCATAAAAAGCATTTATTCACATAAACGGTTCAAATCTCGCGAGGCACGGTGGTGAATGTCCACTGCTGAGGAGTCCCGAACTAAGACAAAACAGCCGTTCAGTGCTTCCAGAATTTTTATTCTGGTCTAGTTTCAATTTATTCATGATCTCAACTATTGAAAAGTGTTATGTTTGTAAGAAGTTTCTTTAAAAAGCTTAGATTAAATTGTTAAGCGAAACAGTGAATTTTCAAAATTTAATTTCTGAGATTTTTGTAAACATAATAATGGTTGCGTAATCATTCGTGGATTGATGGAATTTAGACATTAACATTGTTGGATACCGGATCAGTGGTGTATAGGTTAGGCGTCTTCTTGCGGGACCGAACGTCCTGGGTTCGAATCGTGGACTTGCACTGCTGAAGATTCGCATACTACGACGAAACGGTCATCCAATCATCCCAGGTTTTCAATGGTAGTCCAGCTTATATCAACTCATGAATTCAACTATTCAAGTTACTACAATCTTCACAGACCCCCAATCTAATCATAATTTTCCACTAACTCACCACCCATATTTCAACGATGGCTGTGGCCCCCTAAAAAAACCATCTGTTTCACTCTGGGAACCTGGGCAGTATCACAGCTTACTCACAAATCAAGTGACTTGTATGGCACATATATATTCAGTGCCCCCTTTTTTACCAATATTTATATGTTCAAATATATACGTAAATAAATGAATGATGAAACAAGAAAGTATTAACGAAATCAACTAAAATGATGTCGAAAGCAACTATGATTTACAAAGATCTTTGAAATAGAAGATTAACTGAAGAGAAAATATTGTCATAGTTACAAAAACATTAAAAATTTATTTTAGTTTATGTTTTTAAAAAAGACAAAACTTGATTCAGTTGTTACATCTTTCATCTGTCCACCCACTTCTATGCAGAGGATAACTTGTTTAAATCTAGATTAAGACCTTGATGCAATAATCTGACCGGCTTAACTTTGATGCTGGTTTACGTGAGTTTGAAGTGAGATCAAATGCTTGGGGTAGAGAGCGACAAAAAACTATTCTATCACCTGATTGGCTGGCATGGACGAGAGAGAGAGAGAAGGCAAGTCAACTGGAACAATAGTCGATTTACTCTCAATTTCGATCTGGATCCAGATTTCCAGATTAGTATAAAAGAGTACCTGACCATTAGGAAAATACAATTATGTTCAAAACTAGGGTTTAGAGTAGAAAATGGAGGGCTAAATATTCTGTTTAAATTACAATACCTTTGGAACAGAGAAGGCTTTAGCAGTAAATCATATATCAAACGAGAGCTTATGATCTGTAGAATAAACTAGGGACAAAAATAAACGTGAGTATTTTACAAGCTTTGAATTAAATGAAATAACGTTCATAATTTGTCAAGGCTTCTTGTTTCTTTATTCATATCAATAGATAATTCATGATTTACCTCATGAACAATTGTTCTTATGATCTTACTTACTTACTTACTTACGCCTGTTACTCCCAATGGAGCATAGGTCGCCGACCAGCATTCTCTAACCCACTCTCTCCTGGGCCTTCCTTTCTATGTTCTTATGAATTAGGATACATATTACACATAGATGATCTTCTTATACTCAAAAATGTTATTTTCAATTAGTTTCAAGTAAATAATCCACTTAGTAATTTTGTACAGTCATTTATTTGGTTTACAATGATCTTTCTTTAATTATAGCCAATGAAGACATTTTTCCAAGAAGATCTCATGACCTACTGTGATCATAGTTTAAATATTCCATTTGGTAAGTTCAAAAATGTTTACAATAGTTGTATATTAAAATACATAAGTCTTAACTCAGTCAGTCAATCAGCAACAACGTTGAACTTTGTACGTACGTACATCAGTTCGAGTTGCCATACCATATTAGCACAGATGAAGTTGTAGATTCAAATTCCATAGTGGTAGAGGTACTGAAAGTATAAGCAGTAATCGGAAAGATTAAGGTTTGAAGATGTTATTCAAGGAGTATCATACAGTGAAATAAATTTGAGAAGAGGAAAGATGAGGGACATGAAGTATTCAGAATATTAGAATTCGGGAGAACACAAAGAGTGGATTCACCTGCGCCATTGTAAACGATTTTGAGCCATGACATTTAAGGTCTCTAACCATCGGTTGCTATCGTCTCTCGGATCTCCGGAACCAGGTAGTCTACACCTACTAACATGATTCACACCATTTGTCAGTGACTTCATGGGTTGGTGTCATGTTTTGGTCTGGCCGCCCCTAGTTTTCTTCCAACGTACTCCTACACCATAGAACATCGCTCATCGGGCAGTCGGTGATTGGGCATACGTGACACACGTTCTAGCTATCTATGTAAGTGTTAACTAGAAACTCTCCTGTTTGTTGTTGGTTTACAAAACTGTTCACTTCATTCTAACAGATCAAATAACATTCAAATTAATGTATGTCGTTCATCAATTATATGTAAGCTAACTACCATATAATGTCAAAAGGGGTTTTGTGGAGATTGTAGTAATTTTAATGGTTAAGATCATGAGTCAGTTGAAGCTAGACCACCATGGAAAACCTGGAAGCACTGGACGGCTGTTTCGTCCTATTGTGGGACTCCTCAGCAGTGCACATCCACGACCTAGGGGGAAGACTAAATGGTATATTAGCTATACTTACAATGAATGTGAACAGAAGTAGACACAATCGAATGCACTTGAACACAAAATTATAGAGCACCTTGATAAAATCTGTGAACCATACAATAAATACTTTATTTTCAAAATGTCAATCAATTGTCACGTACTGGACTGTTACTTCCGCAAATATCAGTCAATCGTCTGACATTTCATTGTTCCTGCATTTCTATACCAATTGCTATCTGTTTCCATTCTTTCCTCCTTGATCTTCTTAACTTTCTGCTACCAGACATTCTATTCTTGACTAGTGTTATATACTACTTATGTCGATATAAGTAGCACATATCAAATACTTTAAACTAATATAAAAATATGTAGTGAACGAGAACACAGGCGAGGATAACCAAATGTGATTTAGTACAACATTACAGAACATCTTACTAAAGTCTAAGAACCATACAACAAATACTTCAATTGCACAATATCCAACAACTGTCTCAGGCTTTGCTGTCGCTTCATTTCCACATCAATCACTCTCTATGTCTCGTTCTCTTTTTTCCTATTTCATCAACCATTTTGGTACCAGGCATTCCACTTTCGATTGGTGATAGATACTATTTATACCTGTTGACATCAGTAGTACATACCACAATTGAAATATTTTTTGTCTTCATAATTAAAGCTGTTGATAGGATTTAAGCAAATTACATAGGAAAAGGTTAGGAGTAAAATCAAGGCTGTATGAGAAATAAATAAAACGAAAGGGGACATTTCTAAAATCGATGAAATGAATTACTAATGACAATATTAATAATAGTTTGTTGCCATGATAAAGACAAGGATATGACATAATTCTTTACCATTCATATTTGGGTTTAATCTTAAGGATAGCTAGAGCTTTAGATGCCTTGAATAGTTTTAAACAATAAAGTTTTGATATATTCATGAGAGTTCTGCAACTCTCATTAGCACTTATTAGCTATGCTCTTTTATATGAAGTGAGGTTGTCAACTTACTCCCAACTCTCGGTTTTACTATGGCTTTAGGCTGCTAATAACTCTATCTTCGTTTTGAGTGGATTCTATGAACAGTTGATATGATTTCTGGAAAATGCATCAAATATCCTGAAGTTCTAGTAAGAAGCAGTGACCAGTAGAGTTCAACTAGTTCTGTTGTGAGATAGTAACTCATTGAAGACAATGGTGGATCAGTCGCTCAATTTCGTGAATTAGTTCAAGTTAGTCATTAATACCGTTGAATGCCAGCCGGCTCAATAATCTAGAGGTTAAGCGTTCGTATGTGAGATTGATAGGTTGTGGGTTAGAATCTCGTTAGGAGGGATTGTAGATGCATACTGTCTTCCATAGTGGTCTAGCTTCAGTTAACTCATGATCTCAACTATTAAAATTACCAATAATATCCATAAAATCCATTCCAATACATTACATTCAATTGAAATGGTTAATAATAACAACAATCATTTGTTTTGTTTATATTTTAGCACAAAGAGGAAATATGTTTGGTCAAGCTTTTGGGAATAATTCAGTATGCATTCCACACAAAGGACCATGGAGAGCTGAAATGAATGGTAAAGCGACACAAGATCCTCGAGTGAAAGCAACATGTCATCATGTAATTTTTAAAAAAAAACTATTATATATGATTTCATAAAGATTCATTCCATGACTAACATGAAATGATATACACTAATATAGTTTTAGAATAATCAGTGAGAAACATATAGATTATGATTAAGTGGACAACCTCATTATTTACTTGACTCTTTGATTTGTTTTACAATATAAACAATACATTCAGTCAGTCTTCAGTAATAAGGATAGTAGGTTAGTGAACCTGTTTTAATCCTAATAGGTTGCCTTCCAAAGAAGATCCAGCTTCTCTTTGAAAATATTCACTGATAGGGATGATACCACATGTTCGGGTAAAGCTTTCCATTCATTAACTACTCGATGAGAAAAACGTGACCCCACTTTAAATTTATTAGATCATGGTTTGTGAACCTTCTTGCTACTTAGATACAGCACTCTAAGTGTGATCTTATATAGGTTAGATATATAAAATTCGAAACATTCCCTCGTTGAATCATATGAATGCTCGGCGAAGTGACCAAATAGAACGAACCGCTTTTCCTGGATTCCACTACTAGCCACTATCCATCTTTGACTTTTGTACCTATTAATAAACTTTAATGGATAACCATTTGCTATTATTATGTCAGTCAGTAACATTGATATCATTGAACATGTACCTAGATGACTTCAAAACCAATTAGTATCGAGTGATCCGAATATCATTAAACTCACGGCCAATTTTGTATTTTTTTTTGTTCATCCCTTTTGAAAACTTTTTTCATTCTGTTTCATCTAACTAAATGGCTAGTTTTAAATTCGTTATAATTGGTTATGTGCTTCTTAAAATTGATATAAAATGTCAGTACTTGTCGACAGATGGAAAGCATCATCGGTGAACAAGGAGGTTCAGATGCAGACGTAAAGGCGAGGATTGGCAAAGCAAGGACAGCATTCTTTCAATTAAAGAACATATGGAACTCAAAACAACTGACTGTCAACCAATATCAATGTTACAATCACCAATACGAACGTCAAGGCAGTTCTACTGTACGGAGCTGAAACTTGGAGAACTACAACCATCAGGAAGGTACAAGTATTTGTCAATATCCATCTACGCAAGATATTCAACATTCATTGGACGGATACCATCAACAACAGCCTTTTGTGGGAGAGAACAAACCAGCTTCCAGCGGAAGAGATAGTTAGGAAAAGACGATGGAAATGGATAGAACATACATTGAAGAAATCATCAAACTACATCACGAGGCAAGCCCTAACTTGGAATCCTGAAGGGAAGAGGAAAAGAGGAAGGCCAAAGAACACATTATGTCGGGAAATAGAAGCGGATATGAAAAGGATGAATAAGAACTGGAAAGAGCTGGAAAGGATTGGTTGGTACAGGGTCTAATGGAGAATGCTGGTGAGCTACATATACTCCTTCACGAGGAGTAACAGGTGTAAGTAAGTAAGTGTCGACAGAGCATATTTTCTTCAAATTATGGACGATAGTAACTTACAAAGTACAAGCTGAGAACTTATGAAAGAACTGTATACTGCCATTGTGTAGTGAGAGATTCTCTATTCTACAGAGATCGGATGTCGTCTATTAAATTTGTACTTTGGAGAAATGGCCGTAGAACACTTAGCGTTTCCTCACAGGTGAATAAATGAAGGAGGTAATTTGATTAATGTTATTTTATATTTCATCAGGGACTTCCATGAACACTAAATGTCCAACCTTCATCTTTTGTAAGTTTATTGAAGGTTACTGGACTGTTGTTTGTGATAATGTTCATCACAAGCACGAGTGCAATTCCATAAAGTACGATAGTAGTTCTTGAATGTGCAGGATAATGGACGCTGCATTTGAAACAGTGGAACCACTTCTGATATCATTCACTTTGCTTACAAATCTTATGGAAAGCACCTAGTCAAATACTTTTCGACCTACAGTGACACTCCTGGAACAAAGTAATACGAAGTTCGTTGAGACAACTCATGGAATTCTGAAGCTGTATACGCTGAATAGAAAAACACATGTGTTGAGAACTATATTCAGTGTACTTCTTCGCATTGGATACTGAATGGAAGCGCGAGTCCAGAAATACCCATCTGATTGACGTAACAAAACAATTATCGGTCGGGAGACACGAATACGTCATCTTCAGGAAAGACTTACACCAACTACTGGTGGACTTGTTCATGGCTGTTGACACGACAGACCTAGACAATGCACAAATGATTACGTCACATCCCAATGTATTTACTAATTTAGAAGTTTGTGTGGACACGCATACTTAGGGGGGAGTAATCGATTAATGCAATCACTCAACATGTGCCTAGATGACTTCAAAACCAATTAGTGTCAAACGATCCGATCAACCTTGGGTGATAGAAAACCAGGTTCATCGATAGCGAAACGTATAATTGAAATGGGGCACAAAATTGATATTAATACAGCTTTTAAAACGTTGTATAGAAATTGTCAAGGACGAATTCTTAAGTTTATAGAAGCCTTGGCTATTCGTAAATTTACCTCCCCCCCCCTTATGTTTATGTTGTCGTAACCTTGAATTTACCGCGGTAATCCTTCAGTTATTCTATTGCTTATGTGTGACCAGTTTGTTCGAAATGTATAACGCAAATACATCACCAATTATCAGATCAACTTCGTCTTCTCACTGTTCTATCGAAATTTATAAAAAGGACTAATCGCTATAAAAATGAACATTCATCAAATTACGTCACCATGTTATGAAATTGAAGTTGGCCACCTTAAAAAGAGCGGCTGATCATATTTCTATTGGATGGAAAGCTCTGGTTTTTTTATCCGAATATCAATTGCTTCGTTTCGTCTGCAAGATTCTCAGTCTGACGGAATTAAGTAGACTGCTGTTAACACAATAGATTATTGCAAAAGATAGCTTCATGTCTGAATTAAATGAGCTGTAATAGAACTGTTAACCATTTTAACTACACCTTTGCTTAACCATACTGGAAGGTGCTTACGAGCCTGAATATGCAAATTCCTAGAACATTTGTCAATTCATTAGTTATATAGACATTAACATGAATGTTGGATACATTCATTCTCATTAGAATAGCTTTAAATCTAATATGATTAGATGCATATAATTCTTTACCTGTAGAAGTCGTTTGTTTTGAGTCATGTCAAAGATCGATACTGAACAAATACATAGACAAATCAAGAGGATTATAGAATATTACTTACTTACTTACCTACCTACTTACTTAATTACTTACTTACTTACTTACTTACTTACCTGCCTACCTACTTAATTACTTACTTACCTACTTACTTACCTACCTACTTACTTACTTACTTAATTACGCCTGTTACTCCCAAATGGAGCATAGACCGTTGACTTCGTTCTTTCGGTCATATGTATATTATAACTCAAAAACATACAATAAAGTGAATAGTCTACATTAATCCACATTATTCTTTATGGATTAAACTTAGTAAACTTCCATCGAATTATATTCATATTGATAATCTGCTTTTTTTGGTAATAATGATTTTCATATTTTTCAGATCACATGTTTAGGTGGTGTCCAAGTCGTTGTTGATGGTAAAAAGTTTCCATGTACTGCTGGTGTAGCCAAAGTAAAAACGGATCGAATTGATGGAGAAGCACTTTGCCCTAATGTTAATGATGTTTGCAGAGTAAGAATAGTATATGTTGTATATAATTGTTACTAAGGATATATGATCCCATTTTCTGGCATTTTGTCTCTCTTACTCTCTGTATACATACTTAAATCATTTGCTATGTTCACCAGTCTTCACGGACGTAAATGAGTATATTGTGTGTAATAATCGATTAGAATTACTCTAAGAGAGATTTCAGATCACTTTAGTTGAGTCCATCATTATGGATGATCAAGATTATAACAATCAAGTCAATTAACAAATGGTGTTATTTGTGGGGTTGAATTTTTAAACTGACATCTAGATATCTCTATCTGATGAGTTCGAAATTGGACGAAACTCATGTTTGGTATTTCTCTAGTAGATAAAATATGTCATTATAAAATATTATTTATAGGAGAGAATTGTGAAGATTGTTGAATTTCATTGAAATCATAAAACAATGTTAAAGTTAGATGTTAACACCATCGGATTCGAACTCAGTGGTCTAGAGGTCAAGTATTCTTGAGTAACTGAAGATCCTATATTTCGAGTACCGTGTGAGAGATTGTAAACGTTCAGTGATGAGTAGTTACATGCTAGCACGAAATAGTAGTTCACTTCACTCATCATTTCAATGGTAATCTGACGTTTATCCATCGATGGTTTCAATGGATAGAACTTTCTGACAGAATAGTAATATTGAGACAATTTGTACAGAATGCAGACATATTAATAAGATTAAATTACGGGTAACTTCTGTGAACCTCCTCAACGTCGAAGGAGGTGAGGAAGACGAAAGAACACATTACGCCGGGAAATGGAGATAGACATGAGAAAAATGAACAAGAATTGGGTGGAACTAGAAAAGAAGGCCCAGGACAGAGGGGGTTGAAGAATACTGGTTGGCTGCCTATGCTCCATTAAGAGTAACAGGCTTAAAAAGAAGAAAAGATTATATATATTCCTATTGTATAACTATTCATTACCTAGATTATGTATATCTATATTCCCCTTATTATAAGCCTCATTTCAACCGATAGATTATTATTGTACGATTAACTGTTCTTAAGTTATGTTCAGTCTATTGATTACCGTCCTCCAGAATCACAGTCACATTTTGGCTTGTTCTTGTATGAATGTGTATCTCCTATTTTATAGTGTGATATGGTCTATTTGACTGGTAGATAAACCTGGTATGTTTGAAATAAATCATTCGTATAGTAGAAGCTGGTATTTAGTGTCCTCTACACTTGACTGATAGAGTTAAAAGGAAACAAAATCAATAAAGATGTTAGACTGTTCCATACCCGTGGAAGGTCGAGCACCAGTCTTAAAGTCACAACAGGGACTTACTTACTTACTTTCGCCTGTTACTCCTCGTGAAGGAGTATAGGCCGCTTACCAGCATTCTCCATCCAACCCTGTCCCAACCAATCCTTTCCAGCTCTTTCCAGTTCTTATTCATCCTTTTCATATCCGCTTCTATTTCCCGACATAATGTGTTCTTTGGCCTTCCTCTTTTCCTCTTCTCTTCAGGATTCCAAGTTAGGGCCTGCCTCGTGATGTAGTTTGATGATTTCCTCAATGTATGTTCTATCCATTTTCATCGTCTTTTCCTAACTATCTCTTCCGCTGGAAGCTGGTTTGTTCTCTCTCAAAATAAGCTGTTTCTAGTGTCCTTGCTTTGCCAATCCTCGCTTTTACGTCTGCATCTGAACCTCCTTGTTTATCGACTATGCTTCTCAGTTATGTGAAGGATTCCATATCTTCCAGAGTTTCGTCATCAAAAGTGATTGGATTTTGGATTTCCCTTTGTGTATTTTGAAGCTTACTGATTTAGGGAGATCTTACTTATTTCTTTAAGAATAACTAATTAATTCAATAAACTTTTCAATGAATAATCTCATCATTGATCTCTTTTATTTACTTTATAATTTAGGCATATAGAAAATGATGAACAATTCAATAACTCCACTATTAAGAACCAGTAACTATGGATACTTAATACATTTTAATTACTTTCATTAATAATTATGTTTCATTCATTAACTCTATGCAATGTTTATGTATGAATTATTCAATCTATAAATATATATATATGTGTTATAATGAATAACTTTTGATGAATTCCAAATGAAAAACGAAACATTTGAACAGTATAGTGTTAATGTTATTAATAAGAACCATATTAAAGAAAGCACTTCATTCCATCAAAAGGTAAGCCGTTATTTGTGATCCTTAAAGCCATAAGAGAAGACGATCAACAAAGAATACATTCCATCAAGAAATGGAGATAGATATGAAAAGAATGAATAAGAATTGGGTAGAACTAGATAGGAAGGCCTAGGGACAAAGTGAGTAGAAGTGTACTGGTTGGTAGACTATGATCTATTGGGAATAAAAGGTGTAAGTAAGTAAGTGAGTAAGTAAGTAAGTAAGTAAGTAAGTTAGTAAGTAAATAAGTAAGTAAGTAAGTAAGTATATAAGTAAGTAAGTAAGTAAGTTAGTAAGTAAGTAAGTGACAATTATGAGGAAAAGTACCAAGATTTGATTCGATAAATTCAAGTGAATTTAATCACATGATATTAACATTGTAGTGACTTGACTTCGTTTATCAATCATCTTGATTTCAGTGAATAAATAAATCTCAAGGGTGTATGATTTCTGAAGGTAACAATAAGCGGTTATTATAGTTCATTATCGAATAGTACAAATAACAAAATAACAAACATATCGAGGTCAATAGGAGCAGACAGGATAATTTATGTGTTAGTGAGTGAATATAGTGGTGAATTTATAGTTAAATCAAATCGAGGTAAAAACAAAAGGCAAGCTAAAACTAAGCCAATTAATGAGATTCAAGCATACGTGTTTACACAGACATGATGATAATCATAATGATACTGTAAAGTATCACTTCTCTCCCACTATTTTGTGCATTGTTTTAAACTACTTACTAATATTCAGTAAGCAATTGTATTCCCAGAAATTTTTACGCTTATGTTGTGTAATATCCTGAAATATTTACATATACTTATAAAATTTATTGTACTTATCAGTATAATTACTTTATCTCAATCACTGTAGCAGTTATCTACAGTTTTGTGCATTTGTTTAAACGTAACAGTTTCCATCCTGTTTTGTTCTTGGTTTGGATTTTGCTTGTTGGTAAACCACCTGCTTCGGTTTGGGCACCCGAGCAGTATCACAGCCCTCACACAAATCAATTGAGATTTGTGTGGCGCATATGTATTTGGTGCCCCCCTGTACCTATACTTATGTGTTAAAATAAAATATAATAATAAATAAATATGTTGGTAAACTGTTACAATGTTTACACACAGCTATCAGCATTATCAAAGCCCCTTTTATTTCATACAAATGGACGTGTCAAATGTCGCAGACACCTCAGAAGTTGAGAACCAATATTGTAGATAAATCGTTGTTTTTTGAACTTCGATTTCGTGCGTATCTCAATTGGATGACTTGGACGCTTTGATAGATCTAACAGATACAAAACAATAGATAAATTGTTACTGTTCAGATAACATTGTCTATTAGTGAAGTGAACTGAAGCGCTTGGCAAGACATTACCCGTAAGTAAAATTAATTGTCCGAGGGTTTCTATAGAATGTTCAAACTTGTTTACATACATTGAATAACAGATCAAATAAGTTCCCAGTACCATTTAAAATCGCCTTAGTTTAAATCAAAAGAGACATAACATATCAACGAACATTATTACATCTAATTACACTTTCATTATGCCTTACTCTAATATACAGTTATATTTATATACATATAAGCGAAAGATAAACTAGTTAGGGCAATTCATGAGTCAATAATGAACAATTTACAAAGGATCAGAAAAGCCTATATGTATCTTTGTTTTATTACACTTGATTGATAGTGACACTGTGGTAGATAGAATTAAATCATTCTGAGTGATCTATCTCAATTAATCACAGTTACCTAATACTGTCCGATGTCGTCTGTTATAAATCATAACTTAGAGAGGTTCGAGTCAACTACCATAGTCATGTTAGGTATATGAAATATACCTATTCATTTGGAAGGTTATAACGGCTTAACAGACAGTATTGGTAATTCTTTACACCCTCTATCTATTCGTTTTTCTTCTCCTTATCCTCATCATTTCTTAACCACTTAGATATACAGAATTATTTCTCATATATTACTTCCGCCTAAATTTTGTGCTGATGATATTGTTCAGAAGAACAATGAAAGATCCATGACCAAACCATCCAGATCACAGAACAAAACTCCACCTAAATTATTTTTTATACACTTCTGAATGTATGGTTTTCATGCTCTAATAAATTGATTTTCTCAAATGCTGATGTACATCCTATGCTGAAATATTTGTTCAAACCGATCGTAAGTGTGAAAACTAGAGAAGCATCATTCTTCTCACAATACAAGGATGTTTTCAACAAGTTGTTGTTATACAAAATGAAAGACTTCGTAGACGCTCATCTTCACGATCAACAGACTGGATTCCGTAAGGATCGCTCATAACACTACGGATCATTGTGAAACAATCAATCGAATGGAATTCATCACTCTACATCATCTTCATTGACTACAAGAAATCAGTTGATAGCCTGAACAGGACAACACTATGTAGGCTTATTTGTCAATATCGTATATGGAGGACAGTTAAAGGCAGTCACTCTTAGTCGGCCTAGAGTAAATATCAATAACAGGAAAGAAAATCACATATTTAATAGTCAGTAAGTTCAATGCCTATTTGTTCACACAGTGATCAATCAGATTTACTTTCCCCATCACAAATGATATGGGAAAGCCTGACAAAGAGCCATTCTCAATTTATCAGTGATAATTGGCAATTTGAAAAGGATATATAAATTCTTCAAGAAGTGACTACCTTCGATCACCATCTTATCTCAACCTAGTACATGCAATGTCGAGTCACCTAGACTAGTGGCCACATTGCAACATGGTCGATAGCATTCGATCTGCACTAATAATAAGGACTAGACAAGCATGACATTGGTCACCACCCAGTGATCAATCAATTGTGATTACATCTCAGTCCTACAGGAGGTCGGTCGCAGCCCGGATAGCTCAGTGGTAACATCTCTGACTGTGAAGCTGGGTGACACGGGATCGAATCCGCCAGGGAGCACCAGTTCCCTCAAAAAAGATTACAGGTACACCTTGCTGACGAGTGCCAAGTAGCACGAAACCCGGGTCCAGGGTTTCCTGTCGACCACCTCCAACCACCATCTAACCTTACAATAGTGCCCGCAGTGTCGAGTCACCTAGACTGGTGGCCACATTGCAACATGATCGATAGCACTCGATGAGCACTAATAATAAGGACTAGACACGCATGACATTGGTCACCTAGTGATCAGTCAATTGTGAATGTAGGATTGTTCTATCAATATCAGTGATCGACTGAAAACGAAGTAACTTAAAATGAATATACTTGTTAAATGTGTTTACTAGAATAAAATTCATTTCAGTTTAGGGATTGTGGAGATTGTCAAGTTTTTCATGGAGATCATGAACCGTTGCATGCCGGCTCAGTGGTCCAGTAGTTTAAGCGTTCACGCGCTTGACTGAAAGCCCTGGGTTCGAATCCCGTGAGCGGGATTGTAGATGCACACTGATGAGGAGTTCCAAAATAGGACGAAACGGTCTTCCAGTGCTTCTAGGTTTTCAATGTTGATCTAACACCAATCGGTTCATGATCTCAATCAAAAAAATTCATTTTTTCACAATCTTCTAACTATTTTTTTCACACAAACTATACTACTTCATAACTTTCAGTAACTAAATTTATTTTTAATCATTTTCAAATCTTTCGTAGCTCTATGATACCGAAAATTGAACTGACACTTAATTCAAAATTCTGTAACTGGAACTTTTAATTTTTAGACATTTACTGACCATTCACGTTAATTGTGTTCTTGCTCTCTATCTTAATCATTGCCTTCTGATACGCTTTCTTACACACAGCTGCTGAAGTTTAAATAAGCTCTCTATAACTATTGCATGATACTTTCACCTCTTATGTATTCATTAGCAGCAACAACATCGTGGAGGTTTGCTTTTATTTTGAATGTATCGTCACGACAGTACCGTACCGAGGACAAAATGTTTCATTTTGATTCTAAAATATTAAAGGTCTTAACTGTGAAAATTAGACAGACATACGTGAGCGGACAATAATGCTTTCAATCAAACCATGAAACTATACTCCAGTAAATAGGAATATTTACAGTGTATATGAAGGCATCTTTTGAGTCACCGATCACAATGAAATAGATTACATAACTACTGTTAAATTTGTTTTACATTGTTCTTACGTACATACAGTCTTTTGTATAATTTTTTATACTACTTATTTACATTCAGTAAGCAGTTGTATTTCCAGCAATTTTCATACTTATGTTGTAACGCAAGTTGTCATTTAATATTCTGAAATATTTACATATACTTATAACATTTATTGTACTTATCAGTATTATTACTGTAGCTTAATCACTGTAGCAGTTATCTACAGTTTTGTGCGTTTGTTTAAACGTAACAGTTTCCATCCTGTTTTGTTCTTGGTTCAGGTTTCGGTTGTTCAGGAGCTGTTATCAAATGAAGACACAGATATCAGCTGTCTATTGTATTATCGTATGTTGTAATTATTCTTTATGTTACTGTTACAGGAAGCCCTTTTATTTCATACCTAAAGGGCGCGTTTAAACACCTCGGACACCTCACAAGTTCAGGTTTGTAACTAATTTTTGTGTAATATTCAATAAAAAACCGCTTTGTTAGACAAATTGTTGTTTTGAGAAATTCGATGTTGTGAGTATCTCAATCGGTTGACCTGGACGCTTCGGTAGATCTAGCAACTACAAATAATGGATATTGAAAGTATAAGCGTGCTTGTGGTGGTAAGAATAGATAGATAATGAAAACTCCATTTTGCAGTTCAATGTAAAGATCACATGATAAGAAGTGTGTAAATAGGGAGATGTTGAGGAATGTAAAAGGAAGGAGTTGAAGTGTGACAAGCAAATACAGGATGTGAGAAAATCTGTAA